TTGGAATATTCATAATTTAATGGATATTTATTACCCTTTTTAAAGGTAATAATTATAATTTCATATTCTAGACATGGTTTATAAGTCATAACTAGTACGATACCCGTGTACTACACGAGTGTTTGATAAATATTAAATGTGCAACAAAAATTGAAGGAAGAAAAAAATTATATATTATGTTGAAGTTGGAAAAAATTTATAAGAAACAATATATAAAAATTTAATAAAGAACTAAGTGAATTAACAATATTTTTTTAAATTCTAAAAACTAATTTATACACATCATTAGTTTTATTTATAAAGTTTTTATTTCAAATACATAAGAGAATAACATGGACAAAATACAAAACTTAGAACATGAGATAACATGAACATTATGGAAATAAGATAATAAGTAGATTTATATTGAATAATTTAAATATATTATATATATTTTTTATGGCAATCCAAACATAAGTCATTTGGTATATAAAAATAGTAATTTTTATTCAATTCATATTACAAAGAATTATATTTTGCCAAATAAGATTACGAAACATAAGTCATTTGGTATATAAAAATAGTAACTTTTATTCGATTCATATTACAAAGAATTATATTTTGCCAAATAAGATTACGAAGTATAACGCGTTCTGTAATTATATATTGAGAGGATTTTTTTCCCATTATTTATTTTTCCTTATCTCTTTCTTTTTAAATTATAAAAATAACTATATTTAAAATTCAATATACATTTTATTTATAATATTTTATACAATATATCAAATTAATCATTTTTTGATGATCTTTTATTTGACATCTATATTGTACATATAAAATATATAAGTATATTATTTTTTATAATAAAACTTTAATTACCTATTAATATTAATTGAAAAAAAATAAAATTATTTAAACTAATTTAACTACAAAGTAGTTATATGATAAGTTGAAAAAAAATTATTGTAATATAAGATGATAAGCCGTATAAGTGACAGGTGAAGTTTAAATATAAATAATAATATAATTTTTCAAAATAGTATTTAAAAATCTATATATATAATTGCCTGGGAGCTTCAACAAATTTTATTCAACCAGCAATTAATAATAATATGAGTTCGTTTAATAAAAATAGGTGTTAATTTAATAAAAATATATTCGCCATTTAATGATAATATGTAACTTTCAGTTACACAATTTTGACAGGTCCAATTTTGGATGGTGTCCATTTCTGTAAGGCCTTTTTATGTCCTGAAATACATAATATTTTTGTTTTTATTTTACTATAAATTTTTTGGTATTATATAAATACATATTTCACAACTAATTAAGAATGACTACAAATATCTCTATTTTTTATTGCAGTCATACAATAATAAAAAATATTTTTTCGAATATTACAAAGATACATCAAATATTTTTGAAAAATCAAATCTCAGAGTCACGAGTCAAAGAGATTTAAAGATAATGATTTGTTGTGATGAGGATTCTGACAATAGGAAAACCTCACATGTTGTATATAAATTAGTGTTTAATAATATTTAAATTCACTTTTTTAAATTATTTTTTTCTCATTTATTAAGTTATGATTTTTATTTTATTTTATATGTTTAATTACTTTCTCTTTTATTATATTTTTTTTCGTGCAAATGCACGGGGTAAAACTAGTTAAAATAATTTTTTTATTTTTTTATTTTAGATATTGATTTTTTTTTAACACGAATTCATGTAACACATGAGTATTATACTAGCATTCATTATAATCATAAAAGTCTTAGTCAAAATGAAAATATGAATTAAAATGAATAATATAAATTAATTATTAATTTGCTTTAATAAATATTTGTTATACAAATGTATGATCATAATGCATACTTTCTTAAATGAAATGCATTGTAAAATGATTGACAAATTGTGATATCAGTCCGTTTTGGCCTGGTGACATTTCATTTAAAAAATATATGTATATTTTCTATTTAAAATGTATTAACTATCCTATGAATGAAACTGACAAATCAAACCTATTACGAGAGTACATACAAGCAGTTTAAATTCTATGTAGAAGCAGTTGTTGCGTAAATTCTAATTTCTAAACACAACTTTCATTTCGTGATAGCTAGTGTAAGTATTCATTCATATTGCTCTCATATTTTAGCATATATATATATATATATATATATATATATATTCATTCATTCATATATATATATATATATTCATTCATTCATATGACCATGAACATACCAATAAGTACAATTTTTGGGTAAGGCTACAATCCCGTTACGGAACCATTCCGTTGGGATTTGTAACCGTTAGATCAACTATCATTAACGGTTACTTGATGATCTAACGATTACAAATCCCAACGGAATGGTTTCGTAACGGGATTGTAGTATTTTCCACAATTCTTTATCCAATATACATTACTTGTCGTGTCATATTTTATGCAATCGGTTTGTTTACTTATTGAAAGACGTAAAGTAGAATAATAGATGGACGGACCTAATAAATAAGGGAATAAGCTTCAAATTCCTTGAAAATATGTACTCTTTTCTGGCTTCCTCTTCACTGCATAACACCACTTTTAAACCTACAAATGAACACATGCCATCATTATAATACGTATTTGATAACCTCGCATTATTTTAAACCAACCAACAATATGGAACTTGCCTGGGTTCTCGTCAGTTTTTGTGTTTCTCGACATGGTTCGATACGTATTGTTATCAACTTTATTTTTTCCTTTTTTTCCCCTTTCAAAGTTGGGCTATCAAGATTATTCGTGCAATATTTATATATCATGAATGTAAAATAAGCAATAAATAGCAATACATATTAGTAATAGTAAAGGTTGGATGCCTTCATTTTATTTGCATAAATGAATACCTGCAATAGCGATCGATTGGTTTCCAAAAGACATGTCCAAACTTAAGACCATTGGAATTCCACTTTAACAATGTTCCATTGAAAGGTTTTTTTTTTTTTTTAAAAAAAAAATATTAATAATAAAGAAAAATTACACTTTACCTACCTAACTATCCGTCTTTTTGGCACTTAACCGATATGAACTTCGCATTTTTGTGCACTTACCTACTTCCGGCCATCGGAGTTTCTAAATAAGGGTATATTCGTCTTTTGACAGGATATACAACGGGCAAAATCGTCCTCACATACAAAAATTCTTATTCAAATTCGAAACCCCTAATTTCTTTTCCCCAAATTGTCCGTCTTGTTTGCAGAAGAGGAAGAGAGAAATAAATGGCGACCATGGGCTCCGAGGTGACCGGCAACGGCGACTTCTGCAGTTGTGGGAAAAGGGCCGTCATGAAAACCTCATGGACAGACAATAATCCGGGAAGAAGATATGCCGCCTGTGAAAAATCTCAGGTAATTTTAGGCTATAATTTGAAAAATTTACCCTATTTTGCAATGTGTGTTGTTCTATGCTAATTATTTAGACCATTAGAAGGTGCAATTACTTCTCTTGATGATTAATTTTCTTTATTTGTAACCCTAAATTTCTCCCCTAATTTTGTAACCCTAATTTTCCCTTAATTAATCTGCAGCCCTAAGTGATTGATTTGTTTAATTGATTGATAATCAGACCATTGGAGGATGCAACTTAAATTTGCAGCCCTAAAATATTTCCCTACTTTGCAGCCCTGGAATTTTCCCTTAATATTCAACCCTAAAATTTCCCCCTAATTTGCAACCCTAAAATTTCCCCCTTAATCTGAAATCCTATTTTTTTCCCTTATTTGATCAACAACCTTATTTGATTGATTTGTTCAATTGATTGATAATTATTCAGGCCACTGGAGGATGCAATTATTTCTCTTGGATTGACCCTCCAATGTGCCCGAGATCTCGACAAATTATTCCAGGGCTTCTGAAACGTGTTAATAGGCTTGAAGATGAGTTGGCTACAAAGAAGTCTAGAGAGAAGTGTCTTTGGGGAATGATGGTTATTTCTTTCTTGATCATGTTCTTTGTCAAATGGTGATATAACCATTTGGCAGTGGCAGTTTATGTTTCAATTTGTTAAGGTGATTGTTGTTATTGGCTAAGTCCCATTTCTATTGTTGGTTGAAACTTAGTCATTTGGTATGTTTTGTAAGACATTTAGTCTATGTCTATATAATCTGTAACATTAGCCATTTGTGCTTTCATGAATGAATGAAAAAATGTTTTGGTTTATGCTTATGTGTGTGGGGGAAATGGACTGGACATAACTATTCTATTACAACAACCAAATGCATACAAACATGTTGCAAATGTATGCATGCAAAAATAACAAAGGTACTCACCTGTACAAATCAATATTTGTTCCCAACTTGACAAAAATATAATCAGATGGACACAAACATTGATATAAGATATTATACTAGACCGGTTTAAATAGATAAAAAGGAATATATTGGAGAATAAGCCTACACATGGGCTAGGACATGTGGCATAATGGCATTGGACAAGCCAACTTGGCCCATAAGGTACACTCCCCCTATAAAAGGCGGCTAAGGTATCTCATTCTCTCACTCTCTCTACATTCATTACTATACATTTGAGATTTGGAGTTTTGGAGTGATTATTACTTGAGCGTCGGAGGCCCGATACCGGGACACCTCCCGGCGTTGGGTTCTTGCAGGTACGGTGGCCGTCCGAGTTGAAGGAGCCCGAGTGATATCAATATTCACTTCAAACATATAGAAATGAAATTCAATATCATTTCCCATTCCAAACAAAGGGTATAACAAAGAACATATCATTTCCCATTCCAAACATATTGAAATAAAATTCAATATTTCTTCAAATCAGAATGTCTTACTTTGTTCAAAAAGCATAACACCTAAATTGTCAATACAAACACCACAAGACCACTTCAGAATATTCCCAAATAGACATACCAACACAAAATCTCAATATGTTCCAATCTCAATCTATTCAAATAAAAAACCATTCAGAATGTCAATACATGGCATTACAAACTTTCCAGACCGACCAAACTCCAAACAACAAATATTCTATTCTTGAGAGTATGCAGCCCTTTTTCTTGTGGAAAATCTCACACCATCAAGCATGTTGCTGCTTCCTGGTGGCCTAACAGATTGTGTAAGAGCTTGTGGCTTTTCACCAACAAGACCTTGTATCCTCAAGCTCCTCTTCACTGGCAGCTTAGCTTTCACACCATCATTTCCAGCAATGACTATTTCTTTTTCTTTTCCCTACACATTTACAATAACAATCTTTGAATTAAACATATACATGTTTGTTTAGGGCAAATGTGGAAAGTAAATATCATACATTTCCTGGATTTTGTGAAGATTCTCCAACTTTGTTGTCTTTATCCTGCACAAAACCAAAGATAAAAAAGAAAAAAGGAATAAAAAACCACAGTTGGTGCTTGTGAGGATCCTTTGTGAATAAAAACCATACCTTTGCTAGCTCTTGTGAGGATCCTCCAGCTTTGATGCTTTTCTCCTGCACAAAAATATTTTTCCAAACAAAAAAATACCAAAAATAATGAAAAGTCACCTTTGGTTTAACCTACTTCAGTTTAACCAAAAACCAAAAAAGAATGAAAAGGAAATTTTATACCTTTTGTGGCATTTTCTATGAGATTCCTTCAACTCTTTGGGCTTTCTCCTACACATTAACAACAACAAACAAATTCAAAATTTATATAGTTAGTTAATGATAAAGGCTGATAACAAGAACACATTGAGAAAAGAAAGAACATCAATTTTACCTTCAGTCTAGGACTCTTCCTTATGCTCTGCAAATCATTCCCTTCAAAGTTGGATTTTCTAGGACTCCTTCTCTTTCTCTGCAAATAAACATGAGATTAGTAAAGATACTACATGGTTAAATAAGTGACAACATTAATTTTCATCTAAGTACCTTCTTTGCAGTTGATTCTGTTTGAACTGGAGCAGGCACATCATTCCTCTTATTTTTGTGGCAACCCCTTGAATTGTGGTTTGGTTGCTTGCAGATTGAACATCTCATTGTCACACCTTTCTTGCTCAATCTCACTTGATTAGGTGTTGCATCATTTTTTTAGATTGCTCACTAACATGCTTTCCATTGATCTCATTTGTTCCCATCTTCCTCTGATACTTCTTGGGTCTTCCTGGCATTTTTTCAATGCTAGGTGGTAGCAATGGTGGAATATCCACTTCTGGCCATTCATCTTGTCCATTTAGTGCTCCCATCAAATGACTGTAGACCCTTAAGTATGTCTCCTTTTTGTAACAGTCATCAACAAAATCCTCAGGATTTTTGCCTAAATAAAAGATTCCTGATATTGCATGGAGGCATAGAATTCCTGATAACTGCCACTTCCTACAACTGCAAGATTTCTCACCAACATCAACCTTAAACCTACTCCCAGTCATGGTCTCTATTTCAAATTGATCCCTCACATTCCAATGTGTAATGAACTCCATACTAGTTTCTTCATTTCATCAAGCAACTTCCCTATCCTAGGACAAAGTTCTCCATGATATTTTCTCATCTTGTCTCTTTTCAGATGGATATTCTTCATTAGGTAAGTCCTAATCAGTTCTAACATGATTACAATGGACTCACCGCTTGCCTTCACAATCACAGAATTGAAAGTCTCTGAGAGATTGTTCAAAAGTGTATCACACTTTGAATGTGTGCTAAAATGAGATCTAGACCAATGTGCAGGAGGTCTTGCATTCAACCATCGATATGCAGGTTCATCTCTCTCTTTGATCTCAGTCATGACCCTCTGAAAATCCTGCACTCTAGATGCCCTAGCAGCTTTCCACAACAACTTTTTCAATGCAAGCCCTTTATGTTGGGCTTTGAAATTCTGGTACAAGTGTTGAACACAAAATCTGTGTTCAGTACCAGGCAAAAGGGTTTCAACAGCTTCAATCAAACCCTTTTGCTTGTCAGACATTAATGTCCAATGGTAAGGGTTTCTGATATTTAAGTCTTCTATCAGAAAATGTAAAAACCAACTCCATGATTTCTTCTTTTCCTTTTCTACCACAGCATAAGAAAATGGGAACTTCCCATTGTTTGGATCTATGCTAACTGCAGTTAAAAGGACCCCACCCATTGAAGTTTTCAAATGACAACCATCAAGAAATACAACAGGCCTACATCCATCCAATAAACCATCTCTAAGTACACCCCAACAAATGTACATTCTTTTAAAAAGTGTTTTATCACCTATCCTTCTACACTTTATCTTCACTGTGCTATTAGGATTTGACAACCTAATTTCACTGGCATAAGACCACAACAATGCATATTGCTCAGGATTAGCCCCAGATCCACTAGTCAACACTTTTTTTTAGCTCTATAGAGTTGACTTTATTGAAAAGAAGCTTGTGTTCCCCTTGCACTATCTTTCTCATGGACTCCGCAGGCCACTTGGGATCAGTCCATATTTTTTCTCTATATGTATCATCTAGCCACCTAGAGTTTGCATGAGAAGCCCTCTGTTTTCTAGGACATTTATGCTTAGGGTCATACTTTCTCAACTGAACACTATCCTCATCAGACAACTTAGCAGCATACATAATCCAAGGACAAGTTGTGTGCTTACATTTAACTTGTACCTTGGTTCTCTCATTAATGCTAAAAACCACATCCTTCTTATTCTTAATAGCATGTTGTCTAACTGCTTTCCTAAACAAATTCATGTCTGTAAACAACATGCCTAACTCAAAACTAGAGTTTGAATTATGTCCGATTTCTCATTGAAAACGTTATGACCCTTATGTTTATCCTTTGTTTTGCTGCCTATGGACTCAACATGGGGTCTGCACACACCCTCAGACCTACTTGAACTTAAGCCCCCAAACTCAACATCACTATCAATGTTTTCATCAAACATAATATCATCATCAGCAACAGACACATCACAATCACTATCTATGAAAACATCAGAGTGACTAGAATCTGAACCCCAAGACTGAACATCATCACTATCATTGCTCATACATTCATCAATCAAACCATTAACAATATCATTCTCAGGATCCCTAAGGTCATTTGTTGCCATGACTTCATCACAATCACCAACATAATTCAAAGGTTCATCAATATAAGGAAAAGAAGAGGTTTCATGATTGTTCTTTGTAGTTTCATGCTCCACATATAAACCCACCAACCTACTATCATTCACCATTTGCCCCATTCTTGAGTACATCACTATCATTCAAGATAAGCAAATTACTGCAGTCACTCACATCTCCTTGTGTGCAGTGAAGTTGTTTCACGTCATTCACACCTAACTCTTCTAGCATACTCATAATCTCAATTAAAGAAGTTTTATCAGGATGGCAATAGTCAATATATGCAACCTCATCTGCCAATTTGATTGTGAACATCTAAGATTGGGGACCTGTTGATAGTAAGACAAAAAATACAAAAAACAAAGGAAAGAGATTCGACATGTTCTACCAACTGAACATATAACGAAGTAATAAACACAGATTACGGACCAATGAACAATGAATTAGAGCGCTAGTGTCGTCCCAAAAAAAATGAAAAAAGAAGAACAAATTACGAACTCACCGTAATCTGGGCAACAACTTCCAGGCAGTATATCTTCATCATCGGTTGCACGTACTTTCCATGACATTGTTCAATATTTGCTACACTTGAAAGATTTTCGAGAGAATGAACTTCCTTTGGAGATTAGGGTTAGGGCAGAATTTGGGATTGAGAGAATTTGGAAATTGGGGAACGATCGATTTGGGGCTGGGATGGATTTTAGGTTTAATTAGGAAAACAACTTAAAATGTCTGTTATGCCCCTGTACGCGTTGTCGTCATTGCCACGTGTTGGACTTATATGAACTCCGATGGCCGGAAGTGGGTAAGTGCACAAAAATGTGAAGTTCATACCGGTTAAGTGCAAAAAAAAACAAGTTTAGTGGGCAAAGTGTAAAAAGACGGATAGTTAGGTAGGTAAAGTGTAATTTTTCCTAATAATAATAACAAGAGAAAGTATAACGTACTGATTTGTATAAATTAAATGCTCACAACTTTTAAAACGGGCTGGTCGTAACCTGCCAATGGCGGGACGGGCCTACAAAATGCAGGCCCAACCCACCCCCGCCTTGGACTGCGGATTTGGGGGGCCAACCTTGCCAGTTTTTTATTCCCCGAAAACCTGGTTTAATTTCAATAAATTATGAAGCAAAACCCACGATTTTCAATTGAGGAGATGACGAA